TAACCACGTTATCCTGTGTCTGTGCGTCAATGAGTCTGACCTTGAGTGTCCCTCATCAAATATAACCATGAGCATTTGTCTGTCTTGGCTTGTTTTATTTACTGTGCGACTTTCCAGGCTTGTTTGTATCGATGTTTGGGTTGATTCCAGAACTTGGCTCTTGCAAATAAATATAACTGTAGCCAAAACAGGAGTGCATGCATGTATGATCTCAACCTCTTTTTGATAAATGTACCGAAGTAGGGTTGCTAGATTATATGGTAATTTTATTCTTTGCTTTTTGGTGAATACATGTACAGTTTTCCATAATAGTTGGACAATTTATTTTCCTACCAACAGAATACAAGTATTCCCTTTTTCACAGTTATGTTTCTGGTCGAAACCTTCTTTCATTTTTTTAAAAATAATAACCCTTTTAAGAGCTCATGTCTCATTATATCTAAATATAGTTAATTTGAGACTTGGATGAATTCTTATTTTATTTTAACTTTTTTGTTTAGCTTCCTTTATTTCCCTTTTCATAGGCAAGAGTAGAGATTTCCTTTGTGTTCTTGACTTCCAAAGTTATAGTTACAATTTCAATTTCATTTAAAAATTAGCATATTAATAACAGTATCAATCATAATACCTCACAGCATTTCATTACATACATACACTTGCTCGTGTAATTTGGTTATGGCCTGCCTTGTTGCTTTCATATTTCCTAATGCTTCTTATAGTTGAAGCATATTGGGCATTTCTTAAATTTAGAAATATTTTAGCTGCTGTTTCCTCAATATTTTGTGTCTTATGTTGCCGTGTGTCTTAATCACACACTTACTGGTCTGTCTGATACTGTCCTGTGGACCAGCAATGCACTCACTTTTCTCTCAGTGTCTTCAGTTTTTCTGTGCTTTATGGTAAATGGTTTCTATTTCTGTGTTTCCAAACCTGCATACCAATTTGCCTTTGATGCCTAAGCTGATGTGAATCTTGTTCAGTGCATTTTGCAACTTAGATGATTCAGCTTCCATATTCAGAAGCTATTTTAGGTGAGGGTTTGAAATAGGGTTTTACAATAGACCCCAGGCTACGTTGTCTTGGGATCCTTCTTTTAGCTTCCTGAGTGTTGGAATTACAGGTGTGGTTCACAGGTGCATAAGCTAGAAATGCAATCTGTAGAAACATTTTTAGTATCTTTGCCTGATCTGTTGAATATGTTTCTAGTTTACTTTGTTTAAATAATAATTTTTAATGTTTTGAAATCATAATATAATTACATCAGTTCCTCCTTCTCTTCCCTCTCTCCTATTCCTTCTATGTACCCCTAGCTCTCTTTAAATTTCATGGCCTCATATATATATATATATATATGTGTGTGTGTGTGTGTTTATACTTATGTTTTATGTTTAGTATTAGAGAAGGTGAAAGATTGCAAGGGCTGGTGGAAGGGGGAATTTGCTGTGAAACTGTGTCTCCCTGGAAATGTCAGATGATACAGAATAAGTCTTGTCAGCATGGCTTTATAAACAAGCCCTTACTTACAAAGACACCAAGGGACATGCTATCATGGAAGGAGAAAGCCTGTGGGGCCTCCATTCTTTCTGAAGTAGAGTGTGGTATATGCTGACAGGTACTCTACTGTCCAGCCATAGTGTCAGCCCCTTTCTCGCATCCTGAACATATGGAACAGTTGCCACAACTATTCTACTAACTTTCTTTATTAGTGTGATAGTTTGGGATTGTTCTTGAGTGAATTTTAAATGGAATGTATTGTCCTGTTCACTGTTATTTTTTTTGCTGATTCTTCCTTTGTGTCCCTGGTCATTTTCCAGCAGATGCCCAACATTATGTGTTTACCTTAAAAGGTGCTGGATACTGTTCTGGAGTATAACCAAGAATGAAGGAACAAACTGATGCTACAGATCTTGATTTAGTCTTTGCTCAGCAGGGTCAGGACAACATTTAGTTTGATTTTGATTTCTCCCCCACATCTGAGACTAGACTGTGCTTATTACCAGCCTCAGCCCCAAGACTTATGAGAGTTTCAGCTCAGAATGATGGAAACAGTCACTGTCCTGGCCCTCTGCATCCTGAGACAACAGAGTTTATGTTTTTTTAAGGTAATTTTTCTCTGTGCTTCAGCAGTTGTTAGCTGAAACCTTGCAGGGGACTACAAATCCCAGAAGCTCTCATTGTCCATTTCTTTCTCTCCCTTTTTGTCTCTTTGTTCTGAAAACTAAATCACATTGACTCCAGCATCTCCTCCCAGAAAAGCCACCAGACTCTCCTCTAAATTCCTCACTTTGTGGCTGGGGGCAGCCATAATTGTGTTATAGTCTTAGCTTGTGTAACTGAAGAACTTGACCAACTATTTTTATTTTAGGGTTACTTAGTTTGAGAGCTTGAAATCAGAGACTAATTCATGAGAAGTTTAAGCTGTACTGCCTATCTGGACTTCTAGATCTAAAGAACATGTACAGTTTCTGTATATGATTGATATATGCTTGGAAAAAATCAGAGAATACTTACTGACGTTTTACAAAGGAACTAGATGCTCAGGATTTCTTGAGGACAGGTTTTGTTCTATGTCAGTCATTCTCCACTTTTGCTTCTGTTCTGGAACAAAACTCATCAAATTCTTGCTCCTGCATTTCTGGATCCCAATGTCTGAATTCAGCCTTCTAATGTGCAGTGACTGCTAACTACATTACTTCCAACCCTTTTTAATCTGTGGGACTTTGCCCATCTTCACAAATATAGAAGTAGGCTGAGGGAATGTGAACAAATGCTTAAGATCCCACAGCTTTTAACTGGCTCTCTTGGGATTTCCAATCCTGATGAGTTTGGTGTAGTTTTAAGCCCCTCATCCTGCTTTGTTCTGGGTTGTGATACCTGGCCAACTATTCACACAATGATGGTCTGAAACACAGGAGGCTTTGTGGTGCTTTTCTCCTGCGGGGACTCCCTTACTTAACTGTTCATCTACTCAAAGAGAAGGAAAGGAAAATCCGTCGACGACAAGACCATTCAATATGTGTCTGAATTGGTTGAGAACCCACCCAGGGTGTTTTAAATTTGCTCTGGGATCGTATTTGAGCTCAGCCATCCCACAAGGTTGTATTCTATCTTAAGAGAAGAATGGGTTATAGTCAGCAAACAAAAAGTAAACTCAAAATTTGCCAGAACCTATTTCATTATGAATTTCTTTCCAAGTACACCCCAGTTCCAGCGGTTGGGAGAGAAACGTGCTTGTCTTAGAGCCTTTCTGCAGCTGTGCAGGGGGTTCTCTTAGGAAGGGCCTAACCTGAATGAAAATTTGATGAAAAGTTTGATCTCGCACAACTTTCCTAGTAATTTTGTGGAATAGGTCAAACAACCGTGTTCCTTGAAAAAGTGAAGTTATACTGACCCCTCAATGGCCCACACTGGAGGCGTCCCATGTGTGCGCCTACATAAACACGAGCAGATTTCCCATTCCTGGGGGTAAAGCCTGAACTGGCAGGCAGGAGCAGGGGACTTGCTGGTGGAGGAAGTCAAAGGACTCCAACCCAGATTGCCCGCAGCAGGGGAAGAGTATCTCAGCCGATTTAAGACTGGATCAAGGCTCCGCATCAGGTCATTGGTGCCTATCAGTGGGGCAAAAGGGGGTTATTTTTATTAAGTATTCTTGTTTGTGTAGGAGCTTTCAGTCATTAATCATTTGACACTCAGGGCTCATGGGACTTTTTGCAACAGGAAAGAAATAACACAATCTAATTTTACGGCAACAGGCTTGGAGGCAGCACGGTACGCTGCTGCTGCTGCTGCTGCTGCTGCTGCTGTTATATTTGAGGAGCTGAAGCCATTCCCAAGAATCTAGGGGGCCAGGTCAGGAGATCTACGGACGTTCCATGCAGAAGCGAGGTGTTCTGTTCGATGCAAAATTAACTTAGTTCCTTTTCCTTTTCACAGCAATATGATATATGCTGAGTTGCATTGAAGTAAAAAAAAAAATTAACAAACAAACAAACAACAACAAAAAACCCTCAATTCATTTCAGACATTTTATGGTTGGAAATTCTGCTGGGTCCTCATAATGTTTTGAAATTGAAATGTGCCTTTATGTAGCAAAGGGTATAAGGCATTGCTGATCCTCTCTTCTCAGAAGAATGGGAACGTAAGTGAACATGGCATGTTGGTGTGGCTAGCCTACAGCACAAACTCACTAAGAACTGCACGAGGTTGTGAGGCCTGCCGTTAACCTGGTGAATTCCTGCAGGAAGCGTGTTTTGAAGTTCAGTTAAGAGATACCTAGATCAGACAGACGTGGTGGTGCGCACCTTTGATCCCAGTACTTAAGAGGCAGGGGGCAGACGGATTGCCTGAGTTTGAGACCAGCATGGTTCAGGACACCTAAGGCTACACAGCGAAACCCACAAAAACAAACAAACAAACAAACAAGAGTGCCTAAATAACTGTAGTTAAACAATCCTTCAACCTAGTTTTGGGGTAACTTTTCTTACTTCGTTCTGTGATCTGTAAACCCCCGAAACTGTTGTAAGATGGGGAATTGCCACAAGAGAATGTATCAGAGGAAACAAAGGGAAGCTCGATAGTGAAAACATTAAGATTTATCAACTCCGAGGCGGGTAAGCGTCGTGGGAGTAGAGTAGGGGTGGTGTCCTCGTAAGTCATTTGAACCCTAGAAAAGGACAGAAAACTCTTCAAAGTTCAATGTGCCCTCTGGTCGGTCAGGGAATGATGTGAGGGCTAGGTTACTGCCTTCCTGCACCTAAGACAGAACTTGGCTTAAATCCATATAGAATTTTGTGGCTGGAAGTCTCAAGTCAGACAGTATGAACAGAGCCTGCTTCTCACACTGATCACGGAAATACAGAGTCTTGGAAGTGGACACCAAGGCCAAACTCAGGTGATATGTTCTGATTCAGTTCTTGGAAACTTCTTTAGAAAAAAAAATTCACAATTCTGACTTTAATATGAGGCAGTCAAGTAAGTGTTTAATTAGAAAGAGAAACCGTTATGATGTTTTCAAAGGCTATGGCTGGGTGTAGCTAAGGGATCCCCAACCGCATTCTGGAGTAACTGGAGAGACTTTGACAGCCCAGGTCAACACAGTGCCTGCAGCTGCCATTCAGTTTTACTATATGTTTAAAAAAATAAAATAAAAAAGTAAAAAAAAAAAAGAAAAGAAAAGAAATTGAAACAAATTGTTAATTTGAAAGAAGCTAAAAAAAAAAAATACAAATATTAGCAAGTCCAGGAAGACAGTGCAATGTGTAGTTGTCTGGAATACCTGTTATGCAGAACATAACCACTTTGCCGATTATGACCATTTCTTCAGATGACAGCCCTTTTCTTAAAGCACACTGAACAAGCAGAATAGGAGCATTTTAACTTTCCTCTTCAGTGTGTTTAATCAAAATTTTTATTGTTGTTAGCTTAGGAGAACTTTCCTCTGCATAGGCTTTTGTTGCTCGCATTGCCATTTACACAAATTTATGATTGTCTTCAGATTGAGAATGCCTTTGTTAGAATTTTGAGACATTGAGAGTCACAACATCCAGACAACGTCTCCATACCGGCTTCTGGCTTTGTATTTCAGGTCTTGCTCCTCCTCTACCACCATCCTAATTTCAGGGCTGTGTATTATAGGATGCATTCACATCCCAGGATGATATCTCTTGGTTGCCTAGATCACTGAGTGAGCAGTCAATAAGAGTGTTCCTCAGATCCAGTCATATAAACACAACTAGCAATTGACTCTACAGAAAAGTTATTTGACATGTATAATATGTTCCACTCTGCTCAAGCTAAACCTATCTCCAACCCAACCGCATACCAGTCTATCCAGAGGAAAACGTTAGGGGAGTGCAGGGCAATTGTAACTCCTCGGCATTAAGCTCTTTAGCTTGATGAACCATATGAAAACATACAACCATTCAGGGAGGTAACCAGCGTTGAAAGAGCCCCCGTGAGAACTCACGAGGCTGGCTTCAAGATTCCCTGCTCCTACATGTCATATCAGTGTTCTGAAGATTGTCTCATGATGCTCACATCTCCACCTTTTTATTATCTTTTATTTATTTATACATGAGAGGGGGGTGGGATGGGGCGTGTGCGCACGCCACAAGATGCATATGTGGATGTCAGAGGACAGCTTGTAGGAGCCAGTTCTCTCTTCCAGTGTGTGGGCCTCGGCGATCAAACTCAACCTTGGTGGGAAGGTTTTTACCCACTGAGCCATCTCACCTCCCAACAACCCAATAGCCTCACTACTGTTGCTCAAAGGACTACAGTCGGGACTTAGGGGCTTGTGTTCAGGAGACTCTCTGAAAATAGTGTCTTGTCTAAAGTTAGAAATGAAGTACTGTCCTTTCCAGCAGCAATGGATCTAAGCTGATGGGAAGGTATGATGGTCCATAGAAGAAGGAAATGCCTTGGCTCCTTCATTTGGGGGTTGGATCTGTATTCACAGCGCCACTCTAGAGCGGCTGTGATGTACCTTGCCCTGATCTCTCTCATCTTTCAGGAAATCCCTCTTGGGAATGTCAGATTGCCCCTCCCCTCCCCCTTTATAAAGGAGACTGGACAGTAAGCAGGTGGCTGAGCTAGTCAAACCCACCTGGAGCCTACTCCACACGGTTCTTGGCTGAGGCACAATGGCAGCTGATGAAGCCAAATTTGGGAAACTGGGGTTCATGGTGTGGTGGTCATTCCAGAAATGTAAACCCCTCAGAAGCATTTGCCCTTGCTCTGGAAGACGGGTAAAACAAATAAAGCTCCTGCCTATTGGAGCGTACTCTGGCCCCTTCCACATCTGCAGGACATTTAGCTCCTTGCATCTGGTAGTGTTTGTGCAAATATAATTCCATATTCACTAATAATTCCTGGGGCTAAAGGCTCCCCCTACATAACCTTGTTAATATTCTCTCAAGGCCTGGTGTGAATGCCTCATAGCATTTTGATTAGAATTCAATCTTGTGTCTCCCCCTCCCCCTTCTGTCTCTCTCTCCCTCTCCCCTCTCATGCTTTTTTGGCCCCTGGTTTCCTGGCCACCCACATCAGGAGACATTCTCCCTCCCTTCCACTCTCCATTCTCAGTTTCAAGGAATTTCCTTGTGTCAAAGGCAAAGTGTGATTGACATATTTTTCCCCTCCTAAGCATAGTTATCTCACAGTTTGACTTAACCATCTCCTTATGGGGCCCGTACAGTCATTACCTGGGTGAGAGAGACCTCCTCCTGGCCCTTCTTAAGGGCCGGCTCAGCTCCATGCAGCTCAGCACTTTTATGGACTTAAATTTCTGCTCCCCCTCTTTTTATTTGCTACTTTTTTTCCCCTGGTGTTTCTATTGGCACTAGCAAGTCTTCCCTGACAAATTGTACCTTGAGATTTAAAGAATTTTAGTTATGCACACTCAGGTAAACCAGCTGCCTCCTTCCAGTGCCCTCTGCCTGCCAGAAGAGGCATTTTACTGCTGTTCTTCAGACCTGAGTGAGACCGTGGGTTCTCTTGTGTTGAATTCAAGAACTCGGGGCAAGCTGAATGAATCCCTTGGGCTCATTAATCTTCACGACCAATTTGTTTGTCTCTCAGAAGAAGAAAATAAAATTAAAAAAGCAAAAAAGTATATATTGAAGAATTATATTCAACTCATAAAAAAGCTCTTTGCAGGAAGGTTCTTGGCTGAAACGAGCCTTTGGCTCTGGAATGTATGTGCTTCCTTGGGGTGTTTAGAGCAGGCTGCTTCTACCAGAATTCCATGGCCTCTTAAATGCTTCTGACCTCCTGAAAGTAGAGAACTAATCTGCCTTGGAAAAATCATCCACAGCTTTTCTTTTGGGAAATTCCTTTTCCTATGAAGGGGCCACATATACAACCACACCCTCCACTCCCCAGTGAGGAATCCTTTTCTTCTGCTACTGGTCGTATACACTGCCAATCAAAGCCAAGGCTTCTAACAGAGCTAGTGCCCTGAAGTAATTATGTCTTTAAGGGCATGTTTGCTAACCCCTGAAATCTCATTTTTCCAAAAGATAATAAAGTTCTAGAAGACAGAGGATTAGATATGCAGTAACGTTTTGTTTTCTTGCCAAAATTTCAGCAACGGAGTAGCTTAAATATCAAGCTGTTAAGTTTATAACTGCAAATGTATTGTACAATAAAACCTTGTGGACTTTCTATGCCCACCCCAGCTCTGAATAATGACACAGAGATGTATATTTATGTTTAATAGCTTTAGGCCTTAGCTTAATGTTGTTCCCAACTAGCTCTTCTAACCTATGTTAACCTATTATACTGATCTATCTTCTGACTATATTAGCCAAATCATTTTTAGAAAAAAATGAGCAAACCTTTAAAAGGGACATTAACATTGTTATACCAGGTTCGAGGGACCCTCAGAGACCACCAGGAGATGACTCGGTGCAATTGCAAGAGAGCTTTATTACGAGAGCGATTGAACTCGGGACCCAAGTCTCACTGATGCAGCAGTAGAGAAATGGGACCCCGAGCTCTGAGTGAAAAGGATTGTTAAAGGGAAAGTCTGTGAGCAGGGGGTTTCCATAGCAGCAAGCAGGGGGGGCACAAGGCTTGGCATTACAGAATTGGGTGAAGTTTAGCAGGGCGGGGTGACCTTGTCTGAGGCACACAATCACAATGGCTAAGGCATATAATCACAAAGGCTATTTTTCTAAATATCTGAAACATTGGGGAGAATTTTCCCACCCGATTCTCAACTGAATCCCATTGATTATTGCCAGGGAGTTTGTCTCTATTTTCTATGAAGCATTTATTCTGTTATATTTCCTGGAGGCTGTTGCTAGGAGAGTTAACTTTGTTTTCTGCCAGGTGTACATTCTGTGATATTTCCTGGCACCTGAATTCAGTTCCCAGTCAAGATCTTTATTTCAAAGTGGAGTTATATTCTGGCTAATTTAAACTCTTCAACATATAATCACATACACAAAGCATAAAATTGAACTTTAAGAGGTACACTAACATACAATTACATGCACAAACATACAGTTATCATAACGTAAGTCTTATTGAAAAAAGAACTGAAAAGCAAGACAATGAGAATGAAGCTGAGGACAGACCAGTGTGTGGTCACCCAACTCAGACAATGTGTTACCTTACAGCAGATCAGTGAGCCCAGAGTGTCTTCTCATAGATGCTTTTTCCTCTCTCATAGCAAACAGAAAAGGTCTTTTAAATGTTGATGTTTGTCTGGTGCCTGCTTTAATTACTTACTCCTCAGCCTGATATCGTTAGACCATCTAACATAATTGCTTTTTAAGGAATTAAAAATGTCATCGCAGTTCTATTTTATTTCATGTGTGTTTATGCCTGTGCTACCATGGGCATGTGAAGGTCAGAGGAAAACGTGCGGGACTCATTCTCTCCTTCTCCCATGTGTGTCCTGGGAATTGAACTCAGGTCCTCAGGCTTGGCAGCAGTTGCTCTTACTACCAACCTGTGTCACCAGATCCATTGTGGTTTTAATATTTGAGCTGTATCTGTTGTTCTATTAATTAATGAAGAGATTCTTTAAATGCCCACAAGCTCTAAGTTTGCCCACTATTATGGATTATGTTGTTGTTTTAGTTTTGTAGTTTTTGAAACACTGTCTCATGTATCTCCTGGTCTTGAAGTTGCTATGTGGTCAAGGATGACCTTGACCTTCTGACCCCCAAACAGCTGGACACCACCATTCCTGGTTTATGCTACGCTAAGGATCAAAACCTGGGCTTTGGGCGTGCAAAGGGATCATTCTGTTGGGTAAGCCTCTGTAATGTAGATTTTGCTGCTAGAAGCAGATGCTAAGGGTGGGGACTGGGAATCTCCTGATCACCTCTAGCCACCACTTTAGCCCAGTGGTTCTCAACCTATGGGGCGTGACTCCTTTACAGAGGTTGCTTAAGATCATCTGCATATCAGGAATTTACATTATCATTCATGAGTATAGCAAATTATAGCTGTGAGCTATAGGATGTAGGACAGCATCCCTGGCCTCTACTTAAAACATTTCAGTAGAACATACTCATATCTGGGAAGAAATGAAGTAGAAATAGAGGTGAGGTTAGTGGTTGCTTCCCAAGAGCTTTTGGATTTTTTGCATCATTTCCCACTGAGCTACATATATGTAA